GACAATAAGACCTTGGACCTGCTGTACGCAAATGTTGACAGAAGACTACATTCATTGTCGGTTGCTGAATCTCACCAGATGTATCCTTTGCAGTGTGCTGAGCTCTCCTGGCCACCATTATACCATTCCTCAAGGAAGCTATGAGCTAATATGGTTATGAAGGACAGCTCAGCAGTCATGTAGTCATACTGGCTTTGAAGTACTGTTTCATCATCCATAAACATACCCTCAACTATGTTTGTCAAACACTTAAACAATTCACTGGTGGAATCCGCACTGCTTTATAAAGAATACATTGTCTAAATGTACAAAATCTGCAGACAAACAGATTGTCTGGAGTAATTCCCTAAGGCCGCCTAAGCAGTGATGCACTCCTGAACAGTGGAAGGGTTTCTGTTTATTTAATGACAATGTTGATGCACATCTGTTGTAATTCCGCAAGTCAACACAGTCTAGACACCGGACTCCACCTCGCCCTCCCAGCCTCACATGCATCAACGTGCCTCAGAGCCGTCTTCTTTAAGTGTTTCTCCGCGCAGTAAATAACATCAGATTGAAATGATAAACAGTAATCAAAAACACTCCCATGCAAAGAACCAATCAGGGATCAGTGTATTTTATCACCAGTGGAATAAATTCATTTTCACAGCGCTTTGGTGTTTTTCTTTCCTTTTTTTCACATTTCTGTCTGCCACTGTTTAGTTTGGTTGCTCAGTTTGTTCCTGTGTGCAGACGGAGCTCTGATGTAACTGAGAAGCATCATTGGCTGAGAACCTCTGGCCTGTTGTTGACTTTGTGACTTTCATCGGCTCCAAACTCAGCCGTCGTACAGCAGTAATGTGAGTGAAATAAGAAGAATATCTTTCCACCCCTCTCCTCGCAAAAATGCTGTGGGATGTTTTGTTGTGATTGAGCAGATAATGGCTTCCAGATGTGCTCCATATGGCTCCCCTTATACAGAAAGTGACCTCTGCTGTAGGCCTGGTCAGAACACTTGGGGATGGATGGATGTGGCTCATTTGCTAACAAAATGGAAGCTCATTGTGACAAACAGACGGAAACAGCACTGATAAAAGATGAAGCTCACAGAGAGGCCAGCCATTCTTTATTGATGAGGCCTTTCTGAATGTGTTAGGAGAGGAAATGCTGCCACCTGCTGGCCGTGCAACTGCTCATCATGTTTTAAACAGTAGCCTGCGGGGATGAACTGTATGCTTCACACTTGAGATTCATCTATTAGATCACACATATGATTTCCTTTCAAACTAATGAATGAAATACTTCCCAATTACATTTTTTATATCGCAGTTTACCACTATCAATTCAATTTTAAAAGATCACACTTTTAAATCACACACAACGGAACTGAAATTATTAAGCATTTCTCATTCTCACATTCTAAATGTTTAGAGCTGCATGCAGTAAGTCATTTTTATAATAATACGTTTTTGGCATTCTTGACTCAAAATGATGATTCTCATGACTATTTTCCTCATAATTCCAATTTTTGGAGATTTATGACTATTTTAATTAGCATTTTTTCTGTTCATGTTTTTATTTGCCCTGTGTTTCTATAAAAAAACATATAGATGTATTTCTTGTGTACTTTGAAAATAAAGAAACGAGGAACAATGACATCTTCTAGTCGCGTGGTGTCGCTGTCACTTCCTGCGTTCGTTTTTTCACTGAGCCTTCTCTCTCGCCGTCGACACTTTGAATAAACTTTATTGATAGCGGTGTTCAGTAACTTCTCCAACATGGGGGCACGGGTTGCGCGTATGTTCAGAAATTTCAACCTAGAGAACCGGGTACACCGAGAAATCTCCAAGGAGAAGCCGCTGCCGGCACCCCGACACGCGGCCGCCCCCCCGCCCTCCGCCGGCGGCTCTGAAGGTGAGTGTCCGCACTTGTGTAACTGTGCTGGGGGTCAAGTCAGGCTGTATGAATGAAGCTGGCAGTGAAACCTCGGACACCGTTTCCCTGTTGACCAGCCTGTTGTGTGTTTCAGCAGCGGAGACTGTGAACCAGAAGAACGACCCCCTGCTGGCCCTCCTCAGGTCGGTGTATGTGGAGTCCACAGACCCAGCAGCAGCAGCAGAGGTCAGCCTGGGACACTCCCTGTGTGTGTGTGTGTG